AAAGACTGGAAAGAAGGATACCTCATCAAGGCACCAAAAAAGGAAATCTGAGCAAGTGCGAAAACTGCAGAGGCATCACACTTGTGTCAGTATCAGTAAAGGTTTTCAACAGTGTTGTTGAACTGGATGAAAGATTCAGTAGTCGCCCAACTACGAGATCAACAGGCTGCATTCCGTAAGGATCGGTTATACACAGACCAAATCGCGACACTACGAACCATTGTTAAGCAATCAGCTAAATTGAACTCGTCACTATACATCGACTTCCTTGACTACGAGGAAGCATTTGACAGTGAGGATGAAATAGCCCTATGGAACCATCTTCAACACTATGTAGTACCTTAGAAGATTATCACCACATACGGAGTCCTCGTGACGGACTAAACTGCAAAGTCGTGCATGGAGGACAGCTGACAGATGCATTCCGAGTGAGGATCGGTTACAGACAAGATTGTTCACCCTCGCTCTTTCTCCTTCTTCTGATAGTCGGTTGAATTACGAAGACCTCCACATCTGAGGGAAAGCACGGAATACAACGGACAGCTTAGATGCAACTAGATGATTTGGACTTCGCAGATGACCTACCCCTTCTATCCCACACACATCAACAAATGCAGGTCAAGACAAGCAGTGTAGTGTCAGTCTCTGCATCAGTAGACCTCTACATACACAAGGGAAAAAGCAGCATCCTCAAATACAACACGGACTTATGGTATTGAAGCTGATTTATCACGCAAAATACCTCATTAAATCGTGTTACGAACGTTGAATTGGTCTCACTTCCTACCCAGTAATCCTATTACAAGCAAACTAGACAATTCGCGAATATACGAAGCCTAATCAAGACCCTATAAAACCTGAAAAAAATACCAAAAAAGAAAGGGGCTCTAATAGCTTCGATAATAAAAGGAAGACAGCCAATTGTATATCACAATACTGTTTCTAGCACTATATTTTATTTTATAATCACACATAATCTTATACTCTCAGCTCTTTTCCGAATCGCCTCCATTTGTCAGTTGTATATCCACTCACACCTTGCTAAAGCTTATTTTCTTTAACCTATTAAAATGCTCTTTCTTAACAAATACCTTAATAAAAGAAAATTAGACTGAGTAATCATACCTTAAACATTCCTACATGAATATTGGCTACTCTGCCTCTCGTGTTTTCTTTTACTTGCTCCCTCTTTCAGCCCTCTTGAGATATGGAACAGGTTACTTCATCCTGCACCATCCCTAAAGCCTTGGATATCCCAAAGGGACATAAGGTTGCGATTTCTAGAAGCTTATACCTTCAATGGACCTATTCTTGACCATCAGTCGCACATTCGCAACGCAACTCTCGTGAAGCGCGCCAACTGTAGTACTGATTAAAACAATCTACATTCATGTCTTATAAATTTTCAACCCAGCTATGTAATTTAATACAGTGTATATTGTATCATTTGTATCAATTTGATCTTGCCTGTAAACTGGCATGCCTCATGTAACAAACTGTTATTTGAGAATAAATTATTATTATTATTATTATTATTATTATTATTATTATTAACACCAACCCAATAATCACATTTAATAGAGAAACTCTGGAAGAGGTGGAAACTTTAACGTATCTGGGTAGCATCATAGATGAACAAGGAGGATCTGATGCAGACGTAAAGTCGAGGATTCGCAAAGCAAGAACCGCATTCCTACAATTGAAGAACATATGAAACTGAAAGCAACTGTCAACTAACATCAAAGTCAGAAACTTCAATAAGAACATCAAGAGAGCCTTACTGTGTGGAGCTGAAACTCGGAGAACTATCACAACCATCATCAAAAAGTACAAGTATTTGTCAACAATTATCTACCAAAGATACTCAATGTCTGTTGGACGGATACCATCAGCAACAACCTACTGTGGGAGGAAACAAACCAGCTTCCAGCTGAAGAGGAAATTAGGAAAAGAAGTTGGAGGTGGATAGACATAATTTGTGAAAATCACCAAAGACGAATATAGTTTAAATAATAAGGTCACCAAATTTGGGTACTATCATAATACACTGGTATAATTACTGAACTATCACGTAATTGTAAGTCACGAAAGCGTTCAAAACAAAATCACTTAAGTCTAATATTAAAATTAGTACTTTGTAGACGAATATTTTTGAGTTTTATCAGTGATATTACCAGGTAACTCGAATTCAGTAAGGCAACAAATTTCTGATAATTTAGAATTACCTGAAACAATAATACCTATTTTCCACTGTCTAGTCCTCAATCAACACTATAACTGGTTGAACATAATGGTTTGTGGATATAATCATAGAGCACTTTCATGACTTGAAGACCACGTAATATGATTGATAAAATTGATGAAACTATTTAAAAATTCGGTCAACAAATTGGTTTGTAATTATCATTAAATAGTGTTTCTTCCTTTTTATCCTCATTTATTACAAATTATTTCAGTCTGCTTGTCTTTCAGTTGCTCATTCAGTAAATATCTTAAAACCTTGTCAGTCTAACTAGAGGTTTGGCGACACAATCATGTATGCAGCTCATCAGTATAAGCACTGGAGCATATCTTTTGCAAACTGAAAAAACTGTCGAAATTACACCAAAGTTGAATAAGGTTCAAGCCATTAACATAGACATGAGTTGGAAGTGTACTCTCTTCAGTTGCAACATATGTTCTCTCTGATAATCACATGAGCATCACCCACTGTTTATCATCTTGTAAAGATTTATTTAGCCGGAAGCGTCGTGCAACACCACAACACGTATGTTTAGGGCAAACAGGCTTTTCGATTTCAACAATTCGTAATCACTATATTTGTGACTAACTTATAAGAAACTCGATACTTACAACTAAATTTTTTGCACCATCAGCCGGTAGATATGAATAAAATGAATTTGAGTCTAGAGCATGTCCTACACGAATACGCTCCTGCCTAACGAATTTCTTTTAACAATTATCACTATTTTCACGTATGTATCAGTAGTTTTACTAAATTCTGTCACGTTTAAGTAATAATGAGGTCAAGAAGATCTCCCAGTAACTAAAAAACCCATATCAGTAAGATTTGGCGAGTTTCTAACTTATGGACGACCTTTGAACGAATCTTAAGTGACTTTGAGAAATATTAGCCAATCGACAAACAGTTCGTATGAAGTAAAAATATGTTATTCAAAACCAAGGAAATATAGGTGATTCACTTCTTATACGTGGTTCAAAAACTTGTCAAGGTTAGAAAGAGGTTCAGAGGTTCTAAAATCGTAATGCATGCAGTAGAGGAAATCATCCATACGGCTACAGAATAGTCGGCCTCCGGAGCCATGGTAAAGTCTTAAAAACTCATTCAGCCTCAACCACATAGCTTCAGTATTGTTTATGTCCACTCCGGTTGTTCAGTACAAAAAGTGCCACTTGTAGATAATGACACGATGCACATAGCTAAGCCTATGTAGGAGTCTGTACGCTCTCCAAACATCCGTATATATTGTAGTACCTGGCTGCAGCCAGTTTTACTGACGCTCTTATTCTCCAGTTCGCAATAATTTTCGTCATGTGCCTTAGTTGGGAATTATATAAAGGTTTTTCATCACGAACTGACATAAGCTATAATGCCAGTAATTTATTTAGCCAAATGGATAAAAGGCTTCTGCGTTAAAATCCGAGATCTAGTAGCTTATATCTGATTGATTCGTCCACAAATTATAGTCTCGCCGTTTTATTTGTTATGGCCGCTCAATTATCACATTTTGCACAAAACTCCCTGTGAACCGATTGTACGTTATCATTAGCTACTGAAGTTGGAGCCGTAACCTTGAAATCTCTAAGACGCTTCTGATTTGCTCGTCCATGAATTAGTCTCGCCCGGAATTTCTATATTACTGATTGTTGTCCTATTTCTTTGCACAAATTACTTATACTGCCTAAAACATGAATCACTACCAAATGTCATTATTGTGCACTTTAATATGACTTGTCAAAACATCTCTATACTAAATCGTTCTTCCATGTAAGACCTTACAGAATGTGCAGTTTTAAGATTAGGTCTATTATTAGAGTAGTACTCATAACGAAGTAGACAATAATTCTAAAGAGTCTAAGAACCCTTCAGCAGCTCATGTTATAAATACCCCCAATTTTCTGAACATAAAATATTGAGTAGAGGGTTCTTCATATGTTTCGCCCCTTTTCTCTCGTGTTCAAGTTGTCGTGTAGATTTAGCCTGTGGATATTAGAAGAACTTAAGAAACCTATTCAACCATTCAGTCAGAGGATCTGTCAGATCCACGAAGCACGGTCAGTGGATATCAGCTTACAAGGGTATATGCATCTCGGCGGTGATCTTGCAATCACGTAAACCACTTTAAACACAGCTAAGCATCCGAAAAATGCATATCAAGGCTCAGTATCAACACAAATCCTAGAGGCCGCACTCAAAAATTGTAGATGCAGCATGGCGTACCGGATCGTAGGTACACCTTATACTATCTACGAGTGACCAGATTCTGGAATTTGTTGCCGACTGAAGTGGTCCAAGCTACTTCTCCGGGGTTTTTTATTAGGGACCTTAACATATTCTTAAGGACTCAGGGTAATATTAAAGATAATTTACCCGATTTTTCTCACTGGTTAATTTACACAGATTTCTCCCTTGAGGTTTCGGTAATCCACCACTACCAGTTAGGAGAGCTTATTATACAAAGGTTGCTTCTGTTCCATCCATCACCATTTGAACATGGGCAGTGCCGGGATATGGATATGTTTGACCAAGCTCTCTTGTCTAGAAGTATCCGTTAAAAGTAGAAAATCAGCATCAATCTCGAGAGTTTATAAAGGCGTCTACTTTGAAGAGCTATATACAGTCATGACTCCAGAAACGACTCCCAATATTTATGACGTCGCCTAATTTTTTCATATTATCTACAATCGAATAAATTATGGAAAAGCATAAAGTACGTGCAATTCAAAAACTTAAATTAAAAAAGCCGTGTTTCGTGTCTAGAGATTTCTGAGTATTTGTTTTGTCACCGCGTTAGCGAAAAGAAAATTCCGCGGGTCACTTGACTGTTTGGGAATAATGTCGGGCAATGTTGGGATGGAACAGCTTATCCCGTTGGTTAACCGGCTGCAAGATGCGTTTTCCTCATTAGGAGTCCCACTTAATTTGGATCTGCCCCAGATCGCTGTAGTCGGAAGCCAAAGCGCAGGAAAAAGCAGTGTTTTGGAAAATTTCGTCGGTCGGTAGGGCTGTTATGTTACCTATTTTATTGTCTCAATTAGAGACTTTCTCCCTCGTGGAAGTGGGATTGTCACACGCCGACCTTTGGTCTTGCAACTAATCAATTCGCGCAACGGTAAGCTACGGTTATAGTTTGATCTTATTATTAGAATATGCTGAATTCCTACACTGTAAAAACAAGCAGTTTACAGACTTTGATGAGGTTCGCAAGGAAATAGAAGCGGAGACAGACAGGCTAACTGGAAGTAACAAAGGAATTTCCAACACCCCTATTAATCTTCGTGTTTACTCTCCCAATGGTAAGCCCGGAATCTAAATTTTATGTATTCCCGTATTGTTTTGTGATAGTCATGTCGATACCGGTTTTTCTTAAGCTCTTTTGATTACGACGCACTTGATCTATTCCAGATTAACTCCCTGAAACTAATCATTTTCAACAACAGTGAAAATGCAAAACAGTACGTTGTATTATAGTGTTTATGAACTCAAGGAATAACAAATGTGGTTTTCAGGAATTGTTTGGAATAATGGTAAGGTGCCTAGATTAGGTACTTGTTAGTCCGCGATAAAAAATGACCACCTAACACATCTAACAAGTTTAAATACCGAATACTTATTTCCAAAATAAATATTTAGGATGTCTGGACAGTTGTTGATTTTGTTGTCCAAATAAGTTCCGTAGTCTCCTCACTACCAGTTCTATACCAGGTGAATTTACCATTCAAATGGTTTCATACTTGGATACCAAAGTCACCAATATGTGCAATGTCTTATTTTGTGTTGGGGTTTGAAAGCGTATCGGTTTAGAAAACTATTGATTTAAAAGTTGTTGTACGTAAGTATGTTTCACACGTAATGTAAACAAGTTACTCTCATCAAATCATTATAAGGACCTCACCTTGCCAATTAAGTCGATAGCCACACGCTCAATAGGAGAAAGTATCGACCTTGTTCATATTTAGATTCTAATGTCACTATTGATGTTCATACTTCCCAATCAATTTATTGGCGTTACTTGAAGGCAGTCCATAAATTATAGTCCCACCAGTTGACTAACCGATCGAGTTAATCCTGTCCAAAATTCAGTATTATGTTCACCTGGATTTTTTATTGTCTGTGCATTGTCAGTTGTGTTCTCCATCTTATGTTCATTAAATTTATCGGGAATTAAAGTACCTTGTATGATTAAGGATTGTTAAATAGGCAACGTAGGATCGAATGTCTCAATGCCAGACCATGTACGTACATTAAATTTATGTTTTCGTTTGCGCTAAGTAAGACTGAATCCAAAAAAGATTTTGTGCTGTTTATTATTATTATTATATTAACACAAACATTAGTACTAGAAGGCACCAAATAAATATGCGCCACATAAATCATGCGATTTATGTGAGGGCTAGGATACTACCCGGGTGCCCAGATCGAAGTAGGTAGTTTTCTTAGGGAGCCACACCCGGAGCCTTTGACCTAAAGGTCTGATCCACAAGGCCGTCGAGCAACGTCACGAGATGCAATCTGATGGTAGCCTGTGACCAACGATCAGTTCGTACGCCATTTGTTCCCTCATGATCCTGGAGCCCATGTACACCATTGGTTTTGAATCAGGGTTTCCCAACTACCCTAGGTGGACTCTCCATGTCCACCGACCCGGTTAAAACGCTGGAGTTTCGCATTTCGTCCTCTCAATTTCGTAAACAACACTCCCTCCATGAGAAGTCAGTGAGTAGGACTTTTCTGGTAGAAACTATATACGCGTGGCCATATGAGAGCATTTCGAGAGGGGGAGCTGACTCTCCCTAATCTTAGCTGTACCAGGGCATTTGGGGGCTTATTTTGTGCTGTTTGGATATGGTGCCTTTCTTAGTATTTCTTGCAGTTCAGCTTGTCGTGTAAGGTCTCACACAGCTCAACAAAATGATCGTCTGAATAATTGCTGTTAGTCTTCAGCATTATCTGAGTTGCACTTATTATGTGGTCTTGTACTAACTAAACGCTCAGACAACAGGGGTTATTTTTTAACAACAAATAACCTATTAGTTGAGTTTCCATATTAATGTAAGTTAATTAGTATGTTCGGTTGTAGTGAATTTTCAGTTTATCAGCCTATTATTCAGTTTATTTTACTAGCTATTCATTAGTTATTCATTTTAATTCATTACTGAGCAGCAGTATGACAACTTTTATTACTATTAATATTTTTGTCAACTGTTGTGAGTTCAACAACATGAGGTTTCCTGAAGTTCTAGTTTCAACTGTTTATAGATGTCTTTTATTTCATTTTGTTCCATATGTAACATTAGTTCTTTCTGACCAAAAACGTATTTCATTATAGATTCAGTTTGCTTTGCAATAGCGTAACTTATCCCACAGTTCATTCCATGCTCATCACACCAACTAGGTTCTTCGTGTGCCTGTGTCGTTTTAAGAAAAAAAAAACCAAACTTCATTGAGTTTTCGAAATTTCCCTCCCATTTTCTAGTTGAGCGGCCAAGTAATATTTGGAATAAACAGGAATTTACATTACTATCTGTTTGTTCAGATAGCTGTTAACTGTTTCCTGAAAAGAGAAAACCTCTGACACAATCGTCAGTCGAAGAATTCAACATTCATTTAGAGTAGTCATTTGTGTTGTTTGTGGAATATCGGTATATTGATTGGTTTCAGTTCTGTCGTCACTTTTACGTAGATAATGATCTGCTACTAACCTGTAACAGCGTTTGTGAAACCGGCTATTCCATGACCAAAGACAGGAAAGGTCTTTTAGCAGAGACGAGCTGTTAAGTCGCAAAGATAAAGAATGGCGACAAGACTGAAAATAAACTTGAAGTTTCACAAAATCCATTAGTTCGTAACAAGTTGAATGGAAGTATAATTTGAATGGATAATAAGACTAAAGAAACAAGCTATTTTCCCCATAATTATTAACTGTTATATTTGTAAGTGAATTAGCATACTGCCCAGGAGCTCAGACAGAACTAGTTAGTTTTCTTGGAGGGCCAATACCCGAGAGTTTGACGTATAGATCTAATTCACAAGATTAGAGCGAAGCCATTAATTCAGTCTCATAGTAGTCTGTGATAAAAATTAGTTTCATATCCTATCCGCTCCATTGTGATCTTGAAGACCATATACACCATATGTTTGAAATCAGGGTTTCCCAAATCCCCTAGGTAGATCCTCCGTTTTCAACAACCCAATCAAAGCTCCGAACGTTTTCGTGAAAACTTCTTGCTGCGTGAAGGGAGTGAAACTTTCTTTAGCAGAGGGTGTAAACCCATGGCGTATCACAGCATGTCAAGAAGTGAGCACTCTCCTTACCCTCGGCTGTACCAGGGCGATTGGCAGCTTGTATTTTTGTTCATTCTTTATTCTTTTACTCCTGCTTTTGATCACGTATTATTACTAACAAACATTTAATAGATCTCTCCTTATGAGAATTTCCACTGTATAACTTTGAAAATTCAATTACAGAAGAGAAATCTTTATTTTAACGTTCTTATTCTACACTACTTGTACAGAATCTAGATTATAGCCTTTTTTCGCTGTAAAACATGGGAACAATTCATTATATACATGCCTTTAATTTTGAGCACATGAATTGGTTTTTGGTTACTGAATTTCAAGTGTATTCTCGACGTAGTTTACATTCAGCCTGTTGTGTTCCATCTGTTTGCTTCTCAGAATGAAAAATAACACGTTTGATTATTCGAAGGAAGTCTTTCCACTTACTGTCGTGTGATATATCTGTACTAGTCTTATGTGTGACTCTAATGATCTATTGATAATTGCTTAAAATACCTACGGGGTATTGCACATACGATGTCCAACTATTGTATCTTAGTTATTCCTAACTTATTTCTAAATAGATACTTCGGTAAATTCTGCGAGTTTTTTTTAACTTCAAGGGTGGTTTTTTCAGGATGAAAAATATCCAAACAGAGGATACAATAAAAAAATATTTAGAAACAGGCAAATATCAACAGAGTCATCACACAAGGCCTTAAGTTGGTTAGCTAGTATAAATTCATCAAAGTGAATCCATCCGTGTTATTTCGTTCTAATCTTAGTTCTAAGATTTTCTAGAGTTACTGCGAAATTTGTCATTATCTATATCTCTTTTCTTCATTCGAAGTTTTTATTTATCATCTGACCAACAGTTTATTATTCATGCTAACGTAATGTTATTTTTGGTATGATAAAGGTGATTTTATTGATTAATTATTCTCTACTTTTCTGGGAAAGTTGATGAACACTAAATTAATATACTTATGTATCACATATGATTGGTGCTTATTTTCACGTAGAATAGTAATAAGAACAATTTAGCTATAAACTGTTGATCATGCGTTTGATATCTCGTATGATTGCTTTTGTTCGTTTATTTGAATAGTATCTTTAAATACTGAATTCCTGAATGCGCCAATATGTACGTAGTTTGTGTACAACCTTTCCTTTCATTAAGGATTAAGTTTTATAATTTATTGTAATTCATTATGCTGCTTCTATGATCTCTTTTAGTTCTCAACTTAACTCTGATTGACTTGCCTGGAATGACTAAAGTTCCTGTCGGTGATCAACCTCTAGATATTGAAGTTCAAATTAGATCAATGATTTTGGAATTTATTACGCAGGAAAATTGTTTAATTTTGGCTGTTTCCCCCGCGAATTCCGATTTAGCTAATTCAGATGCATTAAAGTTGTCCAAAGAAGTAGACCCTCAAGGTTTGCGAACAATAGGAGTAGTAACAAAGTTGGATTTAATGGATCAGGGTACGGATGCTCGAGAAATCTTGGAAAACCGTCTTCTGCCACTTAGAAGAGGTTAGTGACAATTTGTTTATTTTAAAAAAACTACTTGGAATTACTAGTATCCTTTCTATTCATAGGAATTTAGAAATACCTAAGCATAACACAAAGACGGTAATACGTGTCCAAGATGAAGTTATTCAAGGTCAAATCACCAAACGGTTTGGAAAGTATAGCTGACTTTTATTTCATATGAAGCATGTTTGTAGTTTTTCATACATTCATTCTGCCCGGGCTCTTCTAGTCAGTAATTTATTGCACAGTGATAAAAAGCCATACAAGTGAACAAAGAATTCTTTTGGGTACATTTAACACGATAGAATCCAGGAAAATGTAACTTAAGAATTCTGAGCTCTAACTAACGATTGAAACTCTATTCTGAAATTATTTTTTCGTTAAAAGGCTGAACTATTCTTTAAAAGTATATAATACAGTTTAAGCCGAAAATATCAACCGTTGTTTTCCTGATAATTAATTTTAGCGTTAATGCATTCTCCTTGAAGGCTATAGTATGTGAATATGATTTTAGGAGGGGTCGAAAGTGTGTTTATACCTAGGATTTCTAACTACTGATATGATAAACGCCACCAACTCTTCGATTATCAGGCCAGTTTGTACCCATGTATGATGAAATACAATTAATATGATCTATTCAATGAATTTTAGGCTTATGATATCTTTCAGGTATTTGATATCACTAAAACGTTATCAATTACAACGTATAATGGATGACAGATCAATTCCTGTCGTTTGTATGCTAAGCTTGTTGTATCAAGATTTTTATATCAATACTTTCACTGAAAAATTTCTGTGTAGTTATCTTCCTTAACAAAATATTCATACTAGCTCAAAAGAACCTACACTCCATCTAACAGTGTGTGATGCCTTGCTCCTACATCTTCTTTGGAGTGCCTGGTTCTAAACGGACTCGTTAACCGTAGGTAACGCTCACTGCTTTCTCTAATCCATTTCCAAGAGATGTAATTTAACTGGAAATTTAATGAATACTATGTTGCAGTACATCATATTTAGTTAAATTGTTGACACAACCACTTCCACTTAAATCCTGTTTGGCCCACAACTAACGTATAACGCAGTTTGTGTAGATAAAGTTATTTCCGTCTTTGATTATCCTCCTTAGTTATACCATTTCGCTCTTTCTTCGTTTACATTTTGACTCTTCACTTGTTTTTTTTCTCCCGCTACTTTTACTCATTTTGTTGCTTTGTTATTGTATTTTGTTCTCTCCTACTCAATCAATGAATTCAAAAATAATTTCTATTGGCTAACCAGTTGAGTCCTATTCATAATATCGGATTTTCATTCCTACTAGTTATTGATCTTGTTTCTATTCTTATTAATATTATGTCCTAGTAACCTTTCTTTCATTCATCTGTTCACTGTTAGTTATTACAATGTAAAATTGAATAAATGTTCTCCAGTGGGAGGGGTGGAATTATTATTTGAGTTGCATTACGTGCTTGCTTCTGTCTAAAATTGCAAAAGATAGAAAAGATAGTTTACCAAACCATGAAGTTTCTTTTGTTCGTTTTTGAAGAAAAGTAGTAAATAAGGTACCACTACTGATTTTTTTGTGTCTATAGAAAGTAGAATAAGCTTAACCTTTTATGTACACAACTCTTATGAACAGGTTGTCGGTAGCAGGGGAAGTGCACTAGTATACACATTCAGTCGAGGATACATTACTTACTCCTGTCATACCTCGTGAAGGTTTATGGGCTGCCCATCAGGATTCTCAATCGAACAATGGCTTGGTCAGTCCATTCCAGTTGTTATTCATCCTTTTCATGTTTGCTTCCCATACCCGATGCAATATCTTACTCGGTCATCTTCTTTCCTATTACTCTTCAGAATTCTAAGTTAGCGCTTGCCTCGTGATGCAGTTTGGTGATTTTCACAAATTATGTCTATCCACCTCCAACTTCTTTTCCTAATTTCCTCTTCAGCTGGAAGCTGGTTTGTTTCCTCCCACAGTAGGTTGTTGCTGATGGTATCCGTCCAACAGACATTGAGTATCTTTGGTAGATAATTGTTGACAAATACTTGTACTTTTTGATGATGGTTGTGATAGTTCTCCGAGTTTCAGCTCCACACAGTAAGGCTCTCTTGATGTTCTTATTGAAGTTTCTGACTTTGATGTTAGTTGACAGTTGCTTTCAGTTTCATATGTTCTTCAATTGTAGGAATGCGGTTCTTGCTTTGCGAATCCTCGACTTTACGTCTGCATCAGATCCTCCTTGTTCATCTATGATGCTACCCAGATACGTTAAAGTTTCCACCTCTTCCAGAGTTTCTCTATTAAATGTGATTATTGGGTTGGTGTTCTCCGTGTTGTATTTGAGGATGCTGCTTTTTCCCTTGTGTATGTAGAGGTCTACTGATGCAGAGACTGACACTACACTGCTTGTCTTGACCTGCATTTGTTGATGTGTGTGGGATAGAAGGGGTAGGTCATCTGCGAAGTCCAAATCATCTAGTTGCATCTAAGCTGTCCGTTGTATTCCGTGCTTTCCCTCAGATGTGGAGGTCTTCGTAATTCAACCGACTATCAGAAGAAGGAGAAAGAGCGAGGGTGAACAATCTTGTCTGTAACCGATCCTCACTCGGAATGCATCTGTCAGCTGTCCTCCATGCACGACTTTGCAGTTTAGTCCGTCACGAGGACTCCGTATGTGGTGATAATCTTCTAAGGTACTACATAGTGTTGAAGATGGTTCCATAGGGCTATTTCATCCTCACTGTCAAATGCTTCCTCGTAGTCAAGGAAGTCGATGTATAGTGACGAGTTCAATTTAGCTGATTGCTTAACAATGGTTCGTAGTGTCGCGATTTGGTCTGTGTATAACCGATCCTTACGGAATGCAGCCTGTTGATCTCGTAGTTGGGCGACTACTGAATCTTTCATCCAGTTCAACAACACTGTTGAAAACCTTTACTGATACTGACACAAGTGTGATGCCTCTGCAGTTTTCGCACTTGCTCAGATTTCCTTTTTTGGTGCCTTGATGAGGTATCCTTCTTTCCAGTCTTTCAGCACTTGTTCTTCCTGCCAAATCTCCCCGAATAGAATGTGAAGCATCTTTGCAGTTACCTCTATGTCCAAATTCAGTGCTTCAGATGGTATAGTTGTTTCCTGCTGCTTCTCCACTCTTGATTTGTCTGATGACCATCTTGATTTGTTTTAACGTTGGTAGAGTGACGTCCATTGGGAAGGTCTGTGTTTGGTGCTTCTATGTTCGGTGGATTGAGTGGATCTGGCTTATCCAGAAATTCCTGAAATTGTTCCGCTCATCTCTTCCCCTGTTCTTGAATCGTAATGATTGGCTTGCCTTCTTTTTGCTTGACTGATTGCTCTAGTTTCCCATACTTCTGCGCTAGTTTCTTCCTTATACCATGTAGTTTTTTCATAAGTCCTTCACTTGCAGCTTTTTTCGCTGTCATTGCTTGTTCTTCCACGTATTTCTGTTTGTCGGATCTAACGCTCCTCTTAACTTGCTTGTTTGCTTCTTTGCATTCAGCTTTTGCCATGGTTTTCTCTGTACTTGTTTGGCTGTCGTTAAGTGCTACCTTCTTGTTTTTCATTTCTTGAGTATTGTCGGTGGTTTCGGTGGAGATCCATTTCCTATGATTCTTGTTGCGGCCTGGATCCTCCTGATACGTTGAAGTTGGTCCTTCTTTGGTCCCTCTCCAGTTATTTCTTCTTTCGGTAAATCCTGTAAGGCTTGGAATCTGTTGTTGAGAGTTATCTTGAATTCTCAGAGTTTGTTTGTTTGTCGAAGGAAGGTTGTCTTGAACCTTTGTAATGCTGTTTCTCCAGTTGTCCAGTGCTTCTTTCGCCTCAGTTTCATCTTGGCAACCATCAGGTAGTGATCTGAAAGCTGTCAGCTCCTCTTCTGGTTCTTACGTCTTCCATTGACCTTGTGAATTTTTTACTGATACAAATATGATCTATCTGGTTCTACGTGGTGTGGTCCGGTGAGACCCATGTAGCTTTGTGTGTGTGTGTTTGTGTGGGAATATTGCGTCGCCCATAACCATTTTGTTGAATGCACATAAATTTTCAAATCTGTTACCGTTGTCGTTCCTTTCTCCCAATCAGTCCGTGTCGTCCCATGATTTCTTCATATCCGGTGTTGTTCATTCCAACATTGCCGTTTAGGTCACCCATCAGTATGGTCAGGTCCTCTCCTAAGCATTTCACTATGATCGATTGCAGCCTCTCATAGAATTGATATTTATCGTCGTTGTTGCTATCATTGGTTGGTGCATAACACTGTTTTGAAGTATGCTTTGATGATTCTGGATCCATGACATTTCCATCTTATAAGTGCTTTACGTGCTTCCATTGACAGCATCAGAGCAACTCCGTGAGTGTGTGGAGCATTTTCTTCTTTGTGACCAGAGTACAACAGCTTCTCCCGAACCTAACTTTTTCAGTCCAGCTTGGGTCCAATGGGTTTCACTTATTCCAAGAATCGCCAAGTTGTATCTCCTCATTTCTGTAGCTGTTTGATTAGTTCTCCCAGTTACCCACATTTCCCAAACATTTTATGTACCTATAAAAATTGTTGCTCTGGTTCTTAGAAGGGGCATCGGCCTCGTGACTTCCGAAGAATTCCGGCTTTCACCATGAGGCTTCATAATTCTCCTGAATAGTGATCCTTCAAGTGTCAGTGCAGAGTTTGTATGGTTTGATTTGTTTCTTGTGGTTAGTGTTTTTTTAGCAAGGTTGTTTTCTACGAGATGGGGTTGCTGACGCCATGTCCAACTCTCTTCCTTTACCCGGGCTTGAGACCGCAGTAACTATAGAAGACATACAGGCTAAGTTTGAGTATACATTAAGATAACAGTTTTAAAAAGTATTTCATCATCCCAAGCTATTAAATAAGGATACCATTGATGAAGTAACTATGAGAACATAATCTAAGGATGGCATAAAAAATAATCTGTAGATAAGGAACAAACAAGTATCTTCTAATAAAATTTTCAGAATTCAAAATATAGTGAATACATCTGCATCGATTGGCTTGAGTTAGTTTCACCCAATATATCCAAGCTCTGGTTTTAAACATGGTGTAAAGGTCATCAATTACCCCCACCCCCATTTACGGACAATAGAGGAGATTTGTGGTTTAGGAAGTGAATTTTGAAGGTACACAGTTTGATCTCAGCTTAGAGTCTTTCTATCCTACCATTACTTTAAACAATATTACTGGTTGAAGAGAAAATGTATCACTCTGTAACAATTATGATTTTCCGCTAAAGTAGTTGATGCGTTGATGTTCCATACATGTATTAAGTTACGGATTAGTATCGATTACTCCTCAGTCCAATGTATGCTAGTTTGACCATTGAATGGTTAAGCAAATCATGCATAAAATAATATATTTTTAGGAGTTTTTATCTGTGGTTGTGTCTGTCGTGGATATACTTGTGGTGTATAGCGAATCATTGTCTCCTGTTAACCTTTTTCCTCTATAACAAGTAGCCACACCAGTATTTTGCCCAGATTCACCGTGGTAAGAAACGGTTTTGAAGGCTGAACGCAAATCTAAGACTTACTCAGAAGTTTAACTTCGATGCCACTTATTTAATGGTCCCACAATAATTTGGGATGCATTTGTCTTTAAAACACTACACTACATGTACATTCTGATTGATTGTTCTTATTCCTTTTTAAATCGACTTATTCTATGCGATAATGCTAACAGTAGCCGGTCTAACGTTATAGAATAAATACAAGTTGAATAGACAGTGCTTGCTAAAATAAGTATTTTAAATATATACTTGGTTGGGGTCCATGTGATTAATATAACCAGTGGTTAGAGACTTTAAATGACATGGCTCAAGATCGTTTGCAATGGCGCAGTTGCATCCATTTTTCATCTTCCTTAAGATTTTGAGCTTCTAAATCTCCCATAACTTCGTTTCTATCTCACTAATTTCTATTTTTCGAATTATATCTTCGATGCCTAATCTTCTCTATTACCATGGATACTATTACTACCTCTACTCTTCTGGGATTCGATCTGACAATGTCATCTCTGCGCTGATGAGGTATGGGAAATTGAATCGATTTATATACGTACGATGTCCTACTTTCTTACTGATTGAAGGATATCTCCTCATTGTTATTAATTCATCAAATGTAACACTAACCAGTTTTCTTTTTCATTTAATTATTATAAGTAATACTCTGTTTCTTTCCTATTAATTAGGCTATATCGGTGTGGTTAATCGTAGTCAGCGGGATATTGAAGGTCGTAAAGATATTAAAGCTGCTTTAGCAGCTGAAAGAAAATTCTTTCTAAGTCATCCATCTTATCGTCATATGGCTGATCGAATGGGAACACCATTTTTGCAATCTACATTAAATCAACAATTAACTAATCATATTCGAGATACTTTACCTGGTCTAAGAAATAAACTCCAATCACAAATGCTAGCTATGGAAAAAGAAGTTGAAGAATATAAACATTACAAACCTAGTGATCCATCTTTTAAAACTAAAGCTTTGCTCCTGTAAGTTTTAATTTATATACATTGGCTGTTTGGATTTTCTCATTGATATTTACGACTGCAATTGATCAGTCTCTTTTGGCAAATGTCCATCCTGTACAAACTGCCTCGATATTTTCACTAAGTCACAGACATTTTCTAAACAGAGAAGGATGGTGCCTAGCAGTGGAATCCATCCAGCTGAATCATATGATGGCGTTTGGAACGAACGGTACTGGGTTTGAGTCCCAGAGTAACTATCAAATCTGGAATGCAGGTACGTACTGCCGGCAAGCCCCAAATAGAACGAAATGCACGTCCTGAATCATACTGTTAGCCACCATCCATCTCTGCTTAAAAAGTACTGTAAGTTCTGTTATTTTTTATTAAAAAAAGACAACCCTCATGTTTACTTGATATATAACATCGTCAGTCTCAATTTTAAATCACGCCAGTTGTACATTTTGATGTAGGAAGGAGTTGTGTTGTTATGATATGTATGTTTACTATTCTGCATGTTTGGTATGATAGGATTTTATCTGACTAAAATTCTTGATCTCAGTAGTAAGGTCTATTTTCATCAATATTAATAATATCAAAAAATAAGTATGAATTCGTGAATTAGGTTCTGAGTCATTTTTACTGTATTGCGACTAGAAATGATACGTTGTTGAATAAACATAAACAATCATTATGGCGCATATTCTTGATCTATTAATTTAAAATAGTGTATGTTCCGACCAATGAGCGATAGCTACATTTCTTCATCTATGTAGACCAAGCTAACGATAGGGCTGTGTATTTTTATTGTTCGGAACGGAATTACACATTTTATTACCACTTAGCGTATCAGGGGTATTGGATCGATTAGTACATAGTACAATTAACGTTGTATGATATGCTTATGATTATCGGTCTATAAATCGGACTCATGCAAAACCATAAATTTTTAGTTTCAGAAAACATCCTCCAGTTTTTTTCGTCGGTTTCACTCCTGACCTTATTTTTTTAACGTTTTAATTCCTATATTTACTTCAACAGGTTTCCTGTGATTTCAAAGCGAAGATGAGGCTTATCATTGTATTATTTAAATTTATCTAAGGAATTAATTTTCAAACATGCAATACACAGTTTTCTTAGGTCCTACCTTATTAAAAATAAATCAAACTAGTGATGTATCACAGTAGTTGAAGAGTTTTACTCAATTTATTATAAATTACAAATTATCACTAAATCCAGAAATCATTTGAAGTATAACCATGGAGTAATATTTCTTTTCCCTTCTAATTTCAGAACAGTACAAAGTTTTGAAAAAGATTTTCATCATGCAATTGATGGAGGAGGTTCTGAAATAGATACAAAAACGTTATCTGGTGGCGCATTAATTAATCGTATATTCCATGAGCGTCTACCATATGAAATGAACAAGGTAAAATGTTCGATAATTTACTTTTTAAAGTATGTTCAGCACTCTATTAGTATCATTTTTATGACAGAGTTGACAAATCGTATAATATTTAGTCCTCAAATGTAATCAAATAGCAAGTCATTTTGATTTTTTCAGACGACTAGTTTGTATGCCCTGTTGTGTAGTTATACTTAGATTTCTGTTAAAAGTAGATTTCGCTATGTTCAACGAATTAAGATATCATCCGAAAGAAAAAACAACATGCACACGATTTATACGTATATATACGATACAAAAATGTCCCTGAAAACTTCCAAAATAGCGTACTAAAAGCGGAAACGAACTACGAACGTTCAAGGTCCTTCCAGGCCAGAAACACAAACTGAAGGTAGAAATGGGAGCTTTTGGTGTGAAAATGGGACGTTCAATTATCTGTAATAAAATTACAAAAATGAGTTTACCAAGTGATTTCTGGGGAAATAGCATCCCCAGCAGGTTTATTGTTAAGGGTTGGTGTCAGTACTCTGATCAGACTGACGATTGTAAACTCGAATTTCCCTTTTTGTTATCATACAGCCGTGCGTTTATAGCATCTCCCAAGGAAAATCCTATTCAGTCCATTCACTTTTTGATCGTATTTACACAATAGTGACAGTAAACTCGTAGCGCTCTGTGTATACTAAGGGTCATCTATGTGTTGAAAAGTCATGACTACTGTCCAATAAACTAGTTTAACCATAGGATCTTGCAGTAATATATGTGGGTATCGTCACCAGCTACCGCGAAAACCCATCCTTCGAAGTTCCACACACGTCTTGTGATTTGTATTCTCAAATGGAAAGCTTCAGATATATTTTCCAACTTGTCACTAATCTTTATCCTTTAGTGATTTCAGTGTCGAGTTCAAAGATGGAATATTTCCACTTGAATGTTATGTTTTTCTCCAGGTTCTGTGGTCAGATTGAAGTACAAATATTGTCACTATACATATTTACTGTACAGAAATTTAACGAAATTCATAAATGAATTTATTTCGATGATTTTGTTCAGTTACCGTTAGACATTTTTTATCGAATAATAGACCTGTAATTAAAATAAATACTTCGTTTATTTGAGCTGTAATTTTATGACACTTCTTACTAAAAAACTTCCGATTATGCTTAATGTGTATATCGATCGTTGATTGACTTAAACATACGAAGCTTGTAAAAAGTATCTAACAATCTTAGAATTATTTTTGTCTAAGATGTGCACCATTTGTTACTTGAATCCATATTTATGACTGACAGACAGAAATCGCCACCATAAGGACCTGGCAAACGTGTGTGTAGACCCGATTCGCTGTATCACATTATGACGAGACGAAAACAACAAGATGAATAGCAAGAGATAGAAAAATGTAGTGGCAATGATAATATGATAGACCAAGCCTTGGGAATATAGTTCACAAAGACAGAATGGAAAGGTATATGTGATAGGATAATAAATTTCAATATCGAGAGGAAGATAAAGGACAAATGCGTCTGTGCAATTGTGAGTGGTCCTAAACCATGTCACTCAAAACGCTAACCACTGATAGCGGTTGTCACCTGGACCTCAACCAGGTGGTTTGCATCTACCACTATAGATTAGATTAACAATGTCTTCACGGGCTGATGACAAGTTTTAGCTTGGCCATCTCTAGCTTCTATGTTTATACACTGCTTTCCACCAAATTTCTTTATTTTATATTCTACCTAATTTATTGTTTCCTGATTTGTTTTGATTGTGGTTTTGCTCATTAGATCGAAACTGATGAAGAAGAATTACGGAAAGAAATAAGTTACGCCATTCGTAATATACATGGTATTAGGTAAGTGGTCGGTTTCCATTATCTTTCATCTCAAAAGTTTTAAAACTTAGAAAGTTAAAACAACGGTGATTAATTCTGTTCTCTATGTGAGTCAGGTTTTAAGATAAACAAACATTGTAAAATCAATCTAGACTTCAAAGATTTATATGATTCTTACTACTGTAGCGTACTTATTTCACTGACTATCAAGTTGTTTAAAACGCAGTTTCAGTATAACAATATGTGGTTTGTACACATGTATTCAAATAATGTAGAAATTGAATTGAATGCAATTTATGAAACATGATCTATTGGAGTCCTAGATGGAAACGTTACTATTGACTACAGGGAATTCTAACGTATGTTATTCATGGTAACACGACACTTTCTGTCCGGCTATTGTATTACTTTAAACTGTTTAACTATCTCGGACCGTAATTGATTAGATCCAGGTTTTCTCTCTACTGAAACCTTCAACCCCACATAATTTTATAGACAAGGTTAGTGGTGGTTAAATTATTGATAAAAAATCTTGCAAGTATCTAATACTAACTTTTATAAATTTTCTTTTGTTTCGGTAGGACTGGATTATTCACACCTGATTTAGCTTTCGAAACTATAACCCGCAAACAAATTGATAAAATGAAAATACCGTCATTGAAATGTGCTGATTTAGTTGTGGCTCAATTGACTGAAATTGTACACGCATGTACTGCACGTGTAAGTATATAACGGTTGTCAAAATACTGTTACTATTATTACTATTACTGTTTTGAAGTTTGACTTGTGAAATTTGTTTATGATAAAGTTAGTATTCATCACAATTTTGGGAGTTTAAACTATCAATTTTTGATCCAGTAGCTCCATTGTACTGTGCTTTCTACGAAACCTAAAAGTCCTTAGTTCGGTTCTTGTCAACTGGATCCTGTGTATGTCTTGTTGTGGCTACTCAAAAGACGACAAAGGTTCAGTGTTTTCTTTAGTCTTCAATGTTTTTCTAACCGCGTTCATCATCATTTATTTATTAACCACATTTAGCAAGGTTGACAAACTGTTCATATTCTTAGTTAATTTCTCGCTTCACATTACACTTGTCACTTTAATTGTTGGTTCTATATAAGAAAAAGTGTTTTTTTCTTACATCAAAACACTTTATGACGTACTTTATTCATGTTTTCCTTCTTTATTCTGGATAATTTTTTTTGTACTTTAACTTAACTATTGTAGTAATAATATCACTATTTTTATTTATTTTCATATGTGTTATTCAAAGAATGATTTGTAAAAGGAAAGTTGTTGATTATTTAATTTAATTTGATTACATTGTAGATGGAGAATTTTCCACGTTTAAGGGAAGAAACAGAGCGTATTGTAAATCAATGGATTCGTGAAAGAGAAATTCGTGCCAGAGATCAAATTGTACTGTTAGTTGACATACAGTTATCCTATATGAATACCAATCATGAAGATTTTATTGGTTTTGAAAGGTAACTATATTATAATAATAATTATTATTATAATACTTAATTCAGTTGATGACGTTTACCGAGGTTAAAATTTCTTAGTTGCTCAATTATTTCATCTATATTAAATTAAATGTACTTAAAATATTCCTCTCGTCTTTATGTTGATCACTAAGCATTATTATTTGTCAGCGCAATACAATAGGTACAATTGATATCGTGCAATATGAAATTGCATATATGGACGTTAAAATATTGTTTTAAATTAATAGATGTTGGTATACCATATAGTATAGTCAGAAATGATATTTAAACTCGAAGACAATACCACATACCCCATTTAAAAAAAAAGTTGAACCAAATAACTATTCTGTGTATTATTAAATCTCAATTGACAAAAATGTACCATAATTCAAATACATTCATTGTATTTATTAGTGCTCTTGTCGTCATAATATTATCATATTAAGCATTAGTTATGCATGTATGTATGTTCAATAAAAATGTTATTAATACTACTGGGTGAGTGGTACCAACAATTAAGGAAATCAAACAACACACTTTAATGTAGAAGTATTTTTACTTTCGAACGCAAATAAACTTGAAGTTCAATTAATCTGTGTACATTATTGTATCATGAGCAAAAAAAACCACTTACTAATGATTGTGATCTGTCTAACGGATTATTGTTTATTGGTGTGAGATTCCCAACAATAGTTTATCCTTATTATGTAATAAAAATGATATTTTCTTGAAGGTTCTGTCACAATTAATCAATATTTATTATTAAGCTGCTTAAAACGTATACTTTTCTTTATCCAGATAATACATTACGTATTTATTAATGTATCATCAATTGAACAGTTTACATCATAATAATGGCTTAATGCTTAAGCATTGTCCCCTACTAATGTTTGGTGTATCGATTTCTTTGCGATCACTTGTCAATTTCGGTACAAATTCACGAAATATGAAGATCGATTATTTTTCCATAAATTTTCTTTTAAACGTCTAAGTACAAGTTATAACTCCATAAGAGTGCTTTAACTTTATTATAACTTGCTGGTTTAGACACATAGTTCACACTGTCTACTGAGACTTGTAACCCACCATGGAGATTTGTGTTGTTGTTGGGTCTCAGAAGTATTTTTTGTTCAGAGTTTTGTGGAGATTGTTGCCTCCTGCTGAAACTAGGAAATCCTTTGAGCTCTAGTGAGAACCTGTGATCACTGTAGTTCAACAGTGTTGGGTGAGGGAGTTACCCACCAATGACAGTGAAAAATGGATAATATAGCCTATCGAACGAAGTTAGACATGTAACCATCGGATGCTGACTCAGGTTAAGCTCTTACCACGAGATCTGTAAGTCCTGATTTCGATGTTACGTGGGTGATCGCTGTTTGCTACTGCGAAGTCTCATACTGGGACGAGACAGCTGTACAGTGCTTTCTGATTTCCAGCGATTGTCTAGCCTAGATCTGTTTGTAATCTCAATAATATCTTTTGTTTGTTAGCATATTTCATTCCCACTTTTTGACGGAATAGTTAAAAAAACACTTAGTCTAAAAGAGCATAAATATATGAATCTTTTTGTTGTATTAACTTTTGAAATTGTCGGAACAAAATATTTTTCCATCTTCATGTTCTTCTGAATACTGTTTGTGAATTGATTTGAATTTACCTATTGTACGTATTATTTTTCCTTTTTTAAATCTATCAACTTCTATTAATCTTTTTATGCTATCTAGTAAATTTTGAGTACAGTTTTCATCGTGAGTAAGTAGCTTTTAAACATTCATCTAAATAAAAAAGTAACAGTCATTCTAACTTTACTAATTAACAATGAACATTCACGATTCTCGTCAAAGGATCAAATATAAGATGCTCAATAGTCTTTAATGACTTGTCATATTCTAAATAATAGTCAGTTTGTTATTTATCTTGCCTTATTACTATGTAATTTTGTGTCCATTGAACGATAACCATGATCAGTGGTTAGAGAGTTTATGTAGTATGGCTCAAAGTCGTTCAAAATCGAACAAATTCGATCACTTTGCTCTTCTCCCCATCTTAAATCTTATTATTCCTTCACACATATCTTTCCACTCTACCTTTTTGAACCATATTCCCAATGTTAAGTCTTTCTCAGTGTCATTGCTACTACATTTACTCTAAGATTACAAATCAAAATAAGGCTTCATACATCATTATGTCAATAAAATCCTTTTCACTGTTGTTCATAAGTGCATAGATACACATTTTTCATCAATCCTGAATATATTTTTATTCGTTGATGTGTTTTCTTTAGGAATTCTCTCATACATACGCCGCTATGTATATTACGGTATGGTTTTAATGTGAAGTTATTGTCACCGTAACATTTCAGCTCATACCTTTTGAAATAATGTTTGTTTACCTTTTTCTTATGTATATCTTTTAACTTATTTAATTGTTGGTGAATTTAATGATGAATACAAGTCTTTAACCATTTAGTATAATAATACATATATACATGTGATTGTTTGAGAGTGTATGCGCTTATTTGCTTGCTTATACTTGCTTTCCTGCTTTTAAATTTATGCTTACATAAATATTTTGTTTACTTTTCAGTTCTTTAACTTGAAATTCATTAATATTCACCAATTATTGTGCTTAATCAGAAGAAAAGCCCAAGAAATTTGGATTTTTGTTTTACTAGATTCTAGTTAAAAAATAATATTTCATAATAAAATCGTTTTCATTCGGATTACATTTTCAAGTTACATAATTCCATTCATAAGGAATCCAATCAACTATGTTTTATTCATATGAACACGCACTGCTTAAGTTCGCTTAGAACCTTGTAAAAACTCTCATTTCCTGTTATATAGGACAGTTTTTTTCCTAGGAAGTTTTTAATCAATTTAGAAGAATTGTTTTCGACTAGGAAGATGAAAAAGATAGGATGTTGTGAACATGTTGAAGATGGTAAAATTTACAGCATGGAATTCAAAGTTACATAAGTCCAACAACACTTAGTTTAATCTGTAAAATATAAAATCAAGGTAAAATTCTATCAGCACACTATTAGATAAAGTATTATATTGTTTAATGGTTTTCGATGCGCAGTTGATGTTCATCTGTTGCATTAGTGTCAGTTATGTTTATAAATCTACGTATTAATATAACCGTATTCAGTTTTACCTACTGTTTCTGTATCCGGGTGATCAAATTAAAGAATAAAAAGGCTGGTTATGCATTCATCTCTTTCTTTATTTTTCTGTAGTGCAGAACAACAGTCGTCAGAAGTAGCAAAAAATAAACCTGGAAATAAGGTCAGCTCAGTATGTTTGCTGATTTATTTTACATACATATATATGTATATATATTTTATTATTTAATATACGAACAGTTTGTTTCTATTGAGGGAAATTTAAATTCTGTAAATTACGTTGTTTTGTTCATATCCTACTAATTAAATGTACGAGTAAACTTAGTAGTTTACAAATACTATCGTTTTAATGTTTACATCTGATCAATTTATGGGGAAAAATGATGCTGACTACTGGTGATGCCGTTTGGCTGTTAGAATTTCGCCAAATGCTACAAGATCTAAACCTGCATTTTAATGATTTAATGCCAAATACTCAAACCATTGATTCACCACTTCCTTAAAAGTTGTAACTATCGTATGCCCATAGTGATTTTCTATACATTAGAGGATTATCCCTCAACTACAGGAATTTAATGTGTAATGTGACATTCCAATTCTTGTTTATGATTTTGATCGTGTGGCCAAGGAGACAGTAGACATTGATACTCCAACGATTAATACCTTTAAAAGTTATCCCAATTTATCCGTATTTTAACATACTATGCATGGTGATAAGGCGTAGTGAAATCAACTGTTCAATGTTTTTTTTTCTAATTTCATATCGCCTGTATGCTTCGCTATTGAAGTAATTGATTTGTCCAGTTATGGGTTATCAATGGAAATATTTTAGTTAAGTCATTTAGACGTCATGCTTTGAAGCTCGATGTATAGTTATAGCGAGAAAGCCATTCAGCCAATACATCATTCGAAGCTAACGTCCGTTAACGAATTTCATACATACTAACCATCTTCATGATTAGAACTTAAGTGATTTTAACTGTAAAGTAGATATTTGGGTACATCTTCATACATATTCATGTTTTGCTTCATATGTATAAACCTTTATTCACAAATAATTATTATTTACAAGTACCTATTAATAATTATTCGCATCACTATTTCGCTTATTTTCGAGTTACGATTCAGTCTAATTTACCTTGTTAATGGAAATTGCTTAAAGACGCAGCTTTTGGTTTTAGAGAAATTAAAACATGTACGAAGAAGTTTATTTGGAATGTACGGAACGTGATTTACAAAGGAATGCGAGCAAGACGTATGCTTCGTATTATTTCGGACTCGTCAACTGGATGTAATTTCATCCCATAGTTGATGTTCACTCCGGAATTCGAACCCTGTACCTTCCACTTTAAACGGGATAATCTAAACCATTTCAAATTAAATTATGTACAGTGAAGCTTAATTTTACCATTCAATAAATGTGATTATGTTTTTTTAGTAGAGGACACAATGCTTTTTATGAATATCCGTCAAATTTGAAGAAATAGTTAAACAAAAATTGGGCAGCGAGTATGTAAAGGACAATATTTTTTAAAAAATATTTAAAATAATCTCAGAGATTGAAATGTAAGTAACTCCATTATGTCGCGTAACAAACCGTTCCGAACTTCATCAAGGGAGCAATAGACATTGTGGGAACAGTTTTTAAAGGGTCAATTTGATAAGTATTTAGAAGAATATTTCAACATTTACTTAGATTAAGGTTGTTTTAGCGTGGGTACTAATTATATTCTATTTAAGTAAAAATATTTTTAATTCTCTAAGTTTTAGCGAATTATTACTTACGATGTAGTGCTTCTTTGTTGTCATATCCCAGAGTTTTACTATTCATCAATGATTTCTACATATTAGGGCCTTTACTTTCAAAAGTAGAAAAAACTGTAATCGCACTTGGAGTCACTATGTCGAAATTCTAACCCATAAGTATGCATCCAATTTCATTATACTGAATTTTGTATGGGGTGTTCAACGAAATTAGGAATATGTCGCTAAATAGCAACATGTGATTGCATTAATATATAGATTTAAAATGTATAAATGTGAAGAAATAACTAGACTAATGAATCATCATATCAGCATAGTTATTAGGGAAGTTCGTATTGAGTTGTGCATAATTTGACATTAAAAAGCAGTCATATTTATCTACATACGTTCTTGGTCAATGAATAATAAATGTTTATGCATACATTCTTTTTTTTCTTATGACTAATAGTCACATTGATTTTATTTGTTTTCCAGGTAATTCGTAAAGGTTGGTTATCTTTGCAAAATGTTACTTTGCTTCGTGGAGGTAACAAAGATTTTTGGTTTGTATTAAATACTGAATCATTGACCTGGTACAAAGATGATGAGGTAAGTTACATAACATTTATTAAATATCCTCTTATGAATTTAATTTTGAATACTTTGATATTTGCCTCACTTTATGTTTACGACAGTAAGGACTTAGAGATCGTTAATTTAATTTTTTAGAATTTTGTCTAGTTCAATTTAGTGCTTATTGGTTTTGTGTTTTGACATTTCTCAACGGTTATATACAGGATATACATTTCATCTTAGGTAATACTCGTTAGCTAATGCAGTTGGTAAGATTGAATCCCAATACTTACTTAATCATGATGCGCTATTACATTCCTTCTTGAAAACCTGTTAAACTGTTCAGTACTTCCCAACAGATTCTACCAGTATTGGCGAAAAAAGATTTATTTTAGCCCCATTTTAAAGTTTGTAAGCTGCAAGTATGTGGTTAAAGATGTTAGAAACAAATACACAACAGAATAATTTATTTATATATTTAGTCAATGTGGCCTATTAATGTTACAAATTGTATACATATATTTATATAAATATATATACTTTAGGTTACTGAATAGTTTCTGTCAACTGCTACGTAGTTAAGTATATCCAAATTTACCTACTGATCAAACAAGTAAACCATATTTAATTCGATGTAGTTTTTATCTAGTTTTTGAATAAATTGTGGAATTGGTGATTGTATTTGTTGTGGATATATTTCTGGCTCATAACAAATCCACCTCTGCTGTCTTTTTTTCTTTGCATTATGGTGTATTAGGCCCTGTTTAGTTATACAGGGGCAAGTAACCAGTTTTATCCATAGGATATCAAAAGTAGCTACGCTAAAACTTTGTCAAGTTACAAAATAGTACGACACCCCTGAGCCGGCACATTTGTTGACCGATTCCTGAGGGAATCTAAATGTTTTCTGTAAAATTCTTACATCCCATCATAGTTGGTCACGACTGCAATCAAACATCCGCTTTCCTCTGTCTTCTCAATCGTTCGGGAATAAAATAGAGTTATCTGGGAGGGGGTGACCAGTATTTTTCTTAATAACCTTTTGTGGCATCATGCCCGCTTTTGTAATTGCGTAGATGATTCAGTATGTAACTGTCAATTAGTCGAAATATTTACAAGTAAAAAATATTCCGTCGATTTTTATCTCAGACTGACGGTTGGCGAATCGTTAAAGCTAGGTAATATCAGTTCGGGGTGAATATCAAATTTTCATACAAAAACCTCACAGAATCACCTAGATAAATGAGTATGCATTGAATTCTTTCTTCCAAGGAAATATATATATATATATATATATATATATATATATACTGTTAAATAATTAGACGCATAGTATTTTTATCAACAATATATTACTTGTTAATACTGTAGTCGACTAGGGATCAATATCCTTACTGTTAATTTTTCACATTTTTTTTCAGGAGAAAGAAAAGCGTTATGTCCTATTATTGGATGGTTTAAAAATACGCGATATTGAAACGGGATTTTTCGGTAAAAAGCATGCTTTTGCACTATTTTATCCGGATAATCATAATGTCTACAAAGACTATAAACAATTGGAATTGTGTGCTGAATCAGCTGAATTAGTTGATTCATGGAAGGCATCATTTTTGCGTGCTGGTGTTTATCCAGCTAAAACTAAATCGGAAAAAACGGAGGTATGTAATAAAAACAACATTATTCTATGATGGCTTTCTGTGGTATATGCTTATCTTAATGATAAAATGTCTTGAAGACTATCTAACTGACACGGGATTATATCTTTTCTTACGTAGTCTATTATCGAAATCCCGAGAAACGAATTATAATATTTCACCTCCGAATTCATCTAAATCCCCTTTCACCATCAAGTCATCAAATTAAAATAGTTCCTGCTTCACTTCAGTACCAGTTGTTGTGAATAAAGATAATGATAATGGTCAATAAAAGAAAACCTAATTACCAGTTATTATTTCTTTGTCATTGTATGTGTGACATTTAGTGTAAAATAAATTGAGATGTTTCGAAAATGCATAGTTTATGTTGAAGTCGATTATATTATAGAGTAATTTGTTTCTGTATTGGTTGTTTGAATCTTCCCACTGATGTTTATGACTGCAATTGATCAGTCTCTTTTGGCATGTTTGAATCCTCTGCAGATTGCCTCGATGTTGCTTTAAGTCACAAGCATTATAATCAGAGATGGAATCAGTAGCTAAGTAGATACACTCGACGATGTTTGAAGCGGAAGGTACTGAATTCGAGTTTCAAAGTGAACATCAACTCTGAGATGCAGGTGCATCCAGCTAATGAGTCTCAAATAGGATGAGACGTGCGTCATGGATTCCACTGTTAACCGCCATTCATCTCTGCTTATATCAAATGTGTTTTTTTTCGTATAATATTACCAAATAAATGTAGATATTTTTTTGTACTCATAATAATGAATAGTGGGTTTTATTTTTCTAACATATAAATCAGCAGTAATTAAAATAGTTTTGTTAAAAATGAAAACGAGTGCATTTATATACGATAGATAACATGATAGGAACTATACTGCAGTACTTTTTTATTCGCATGAGATAGTTCATATACGACTTGACCGTTATGTTTATTATCTGTAATTTTATACTAAGAAATAAACATTTTTGGTCAGTAATTTTCTTTCTTCTTTCTCGTAACCATAAAATATGAATTGTTGTAAGTACTCAACTTTAAAAGATTAAAAGATTACATTTTTCGGATTATTGGGTTGTAGATAAATGATCGAACTTACGTGTATAGAGTTAACCAATAAGAGGTATCTACGTTAACTACATTAGTGAGGACATACATTCTAAACATCTAATTTATGCTTACTTTGAGATTAGATTCCGAAAATTTATTTATGGGCTATGTTATTACATGTTACCAATGTTTGATCAGTAAACTATAAGAATGGGAATATCTCTGATGTAAATTAATTAAATCCTTTCGTGAATGTCATTTAATTCTTTCCAAAAATATGTATTCTATTGTGATTCTGAATCTAAATAGAATTAAGATCTTTCATACTTTGTCTATTTGAAATATTCTCCAAGTCGAAAAAATTGTTTGGGTTGACTCTTTCAATAAAAAAGAAAAGAAACCTATTGATTTAACATCTTTTTATGGTTCTGGAAGGTGTTGGTCATCGATATACAAAATAAATAATTATGTTGTAGCGTTTTTATAAAAAAAATTGTTCTCGTTGTTATCGATCATACACATGCTACTTCATGATGTGGTACTTATGATTTTTCGTTGGTTAACGTAGCATCTTTTTATTTTATTGGATTAAAATGTACTCATCTTAGTGGCTCTGGCTAAATTCAAAACGGATTGTAAATTTACTGATCACAGCTGTGAAACCATGCTTCTTAATTAGCTCTCAAATCCCGTACACGTTTCTATGGCTATACATCGTTAGGAAAGAGAAAAAGCGAAAAATATATCTGGCCAGTAATATTTTTTAGATTATATTTTATTAAGCTTATTTTCACATAGCTTTAATCAATTTGGGTATTCCTTTACCCTCTCTTTTCACTATCATTTATGTTTTTCAGCAATCTGACACTTCATCACTTGAATCCAGTGAGCCTCAGCTGGAACGTCAAGTAGAAATTATACGAAATCTAGTCGATTCATACATGAAAATTGTGATTAAAACGCAGTTAGATTTGGTACCAAAATTGTTAATGCATATGCTTGTTAATGAGGTGAGTATATATATACATTTAAATGAAAGCCCTTCATACAAAATAACAATATGATGTTTATGTTTTCCGTGGACGGATAAACTTTCTATCGTCAAAATATTGAAGTAGTGCATTATTTTATTTATCAAAGTAATTTGACAGGACTTTTGCCAAGCCTCAGTATACACTGTGAGTCAACCAAATAGACATGACCATAAAACAGATAATGTCATCGGTCTGCATCCATTTATTTAGTTCATTTCTTTTGAAAGTATATTGCAGTTCTATTTTTCTAAACAGTTGGTAATTTGTTCTAGGTTACTTTAACTTATAACATTTTCTTTAACGTCAGGGTTGTTTACGAAATTGAGAGGACGAAAAGAGAATGTCCGGCACTTTAACCAGGTTGGTGGGCACAGAGGCTCCTAGGGGGCAATATGTATAGAAAAATAGTATCAATGATAGTGACACGACTAAGCATTGGGAATATTGTTCGGATAAAAGATAAGAAAATATCTGTATGGAAGAATATTGAAACCTACTATTTATTAAAGACAGAGTTCGTACGTTAAGATCATTGTCACCGATTCTGTGCCATGTCACCTGACATTTCTAAACACTGAACACAGTTATCGTTCAGACTCCAACAATGTACTCTATGTATATTAACACAGTTCAGTCTAATAGTCAGTGTCTTCGTGGACTGATGATATGTGTCTCTAGCGCTCTTTAAACTACTATCGACATTCGTATTACGTGTCAAGGTAGATGATGGTTCGGCATATATAACACATGACCCATTAACTGCACTCATTGAAAATTTACTGCTTTATGAACTGATTTGATATATCTACCGTGTACCTTACATCTAACTCCAGTATTACACACTCTTTTGTTTTATGATATTTGGATAATATTTCATAGACATCTGTAAATAAATGCTTAGCCTGTATATATTTTCTACTTCCATATATCATATCTCACAGCAGTAGAGTAATACAATGTTGTCATTTTGCTTCATATCTTATTGTGCTCAAGGGTTTCGCTGTTTCTAAACAATTAGAAACAAATTATTCTTTGTAGTAATACAATATAAAATCAACATACCATCATTGGTAGCATCTGTTGTCTCTTGACCCTGTCAATTATCCTATGACAAAATCGCTAATCAGAATACCGACTTCTAGGACCTTGTTTTTGTGCTAAACCAGTGACACGTCAACCAGCACCAACAGCCCGGTGTCAACTCTGAATCCTTATTGGTCCTCAAAATAGTGACTTTTCGCCTAACCCCCTGCCCATTAAGTCCAGAATACAGTCTCAGCCTCCACTTTATGAATCCTATGTTTCAGACATACGTAATTTATATACATATATATAATCTTCGGATACAACAATGCTGGTACTTAGATTTATTGTAATAGACACTCATCTCAATTAATTACGATGCTGTCCAGTTATTCCTCGTGAAATGTAAACCTCATTACTGTGTATGTCTAATGTAATTTCATCTATTTTATTGGATATAATTATTTTCATGGCTCTTCATGTTAATGTTTTTCGCATACACTGTAAATCGTACTATGTTAGTTGTTTTGTATCTAACTTCTTTAACAGTCCCAATTTGCATAAAATACTTTTTTTCCATGTAGCTTTTTAGTAATAATTAAAGTCGGTTGTTAAAAAAACATTTTCTTTTCTTGTTCAGATTAAATCCTTCTTAAAAGGTGAACTATTACCAAATTTATATCAAGCTGGTGACTTGGTGAGTTTCTTTTATTATTTAGAATGAATCAATTATATTGTTTACTTTCATTGCGTTTATAAATAGATTTTTAATTACTCTCTGTTTAATAGTATTATGGTGATAAATTAATGGAATTCATGAATTGATTAGACATAATTTTTTTTCCTGATTTTATTCCATGTTGTTGAATGGATCGACTTAGTCATGGAAATCATTTTTAAAAAAAATTGTATCATTGTCATCCACTATGCCATAAACTAAGAAAGTCAAAATAAACTTTATTTTACTGTTAATAATTTCTGATTTATTTTTTGCAAATAAACTTTACTCACTTTACCTATATAAAAAAGCAAACAATAAATTCCGTGAATCAGTAATTGAATATTAGCTTCAAATATCTCCAGTTATGTGTAGCCTTAATTAATTTACTTCTAAATCAATATAATCCAGTTGGTGTAATTTTAGTTTGATGTTACTCAAACGTCAGTTGATTTCACTGATCAGTGTTGTTTTTTTATATATAACAAAAAATAGTATGAGTTCTTTAGTTCACTTATATTGTAGCTATAAAGTATGGAATTACTTACACCTGTTGCTCCCAATGGAGCATAGGCTGCTGATCAGCATTCTCCAACCCACTCTGTCCTATACCTTCCTTTCCAGTTCTATCCAATTGTTGTTCATTTTTCTCATGTCTGTCTCCATTTCTCGGCGTAATGTGTTCGTTGGCCTTGCGGCTTGCCTTGTGACACAGTTGGGTGCTTTCCTCAATGTGTATCGTATCCACTTCCACGCTTCTTCCTGATCTGATTTGTTTCCCCCATAGTAGGTTGCTGCTGATAGTATCTGGCAAACAGTTCCGAAGTATTTTGCGTAGACAATTTTTAATAAACACTTGTATCCTCTGGATGATGGCTTTCGTAGTTCTCCAGGTTTCGGCCCCATACAGTAATAAAGTATGGAATGGAGTGTTTGAATTTTAATTGTTTTTACACTTGAAAAGAAAGTGGACCTTACTAATCACCAGAATTCGGGATTGTAATTAGACACAAAATAATTTGATTATAATAATTCTTAATGTTATTTGGTATTTTATCCAATTAGTGTAATTTTCTTTTAATGTCTATACATTTACTGTCATTGTTATTGCACTTTAAGAATTCCTTAATGTCTGAATCATTGGGGGTTCAACAAAAACGCGATGAAATGGTCCGCGTTTATGATGCTATGAAAGAAGCGTTGAATATTATAAGTGAAGTGTCTATGTCCACTGTATCAACACCAATTCCACCGCCAGTCAATGATGACTGGTTACAGGTAAATGGCTATTTTATTTTATTTTTTTTTTCACTTAAAGTACATTAATGCAACTTAGCTATCACATTTATGCCCATATGGTAGACCATATTTTACTGTTTGCTGATTGATAATCCTGACTAGACGTTCAAAACGTCATAGATACTAAATGCTAATGGCCTTATTTTTTAGTGATATGACCTTCTAACTTACATTCTAGCCTGGAGCATCTTTTTATGTTAGAAATAATTTATTTTTACTCTTCAAATAGTGAATCACTCTAGTGTTAGAACAACTTCAAGTTATATCCTAAAATCTCCATTATTACGTATCTTTTCTTGTACGTTGAAGTTAGTTATGTAAATAAATACGTCGAATTTTTTATTTCCGTGTTGTAATACAATTTTAGCTAGTTAAACAATATCAACATTGGCTTAAACCTACCCTGGTGATATTGACTTATTATCCAGAGTCATTAGGTTTCGAATCGTGTTCACATTATTATTACTCCTCTTACCCCATTTCCAGTCTAGTTGACCTTTTATTTATATTTATAAATGCTCTTAACAAGTATATGTGTGATCAGATTGTTCGAAATGTATTGCGCTAATATATCACATAATTCTGATAATCTTCGTCTTCTTATTGCATTATCGAAATTTATCAAAGGGACTAATTACTTTATCAATATAATAAAACATGTATGTGAACTTCAAACAAATAACAGACTTTCATAGATAAATTTCAACAGTCGAAAAAAATCAAACCTCCCCATGTTGACTGTGTTAAGCATTTCTAGTTGATTTGTTTCGATTTCAGTTATTATATGATATTTAAAAAATTTGCTATTGTTTTTAATCGTTCTTACATTTTAATAAATAGAGTGATATTCCAGGCGGTTTAACTGCTCCGGGATCTACAGGTACACTTCCTCCTCCTAGTCCAACAGCTAATCGTCGTCCACCAGCACCACCTCCTCCTGGTGGATGGAATTCTACAAGTAATACGGGTTCAATCAAAGGCTCTGGTCCCAGGCAAGTACCATCAGTTCCTGCTAAAACAAGTTCTGGACAACTACCTTCTCCATTGATTCCGCAGTAAGCTTTTGTTGTTGTCGTTGTTTTCAAATTATTGTTGTTTCAAAGTAGTGAACCCTTAAAAGAAGATAAATTATGCACTTTTTTAGACATAGCTACTAGCGTACGATGAAATATAGTTCCATTGATGAAGAAAAAACAACTTTCTTTTCGTAAAATAACATAGAACTTCTTAAAGATAGATTGTTATCACGCCTACAAACAGATATTTGTATGAGTAGAAAAATGACAGTTGGTGTAGAAGTGTTCAGAAATCGGTAAAAAAAGAGTGATTTTTCTATTATATTACCAAAGGATAATTTATCTTCAACTTATACAACCATGCTGTTACGGACCCACCTTGGAAGTTTTTAATTCCTTCACATAATTTAGACCGCAAGTCGGTAAATTGTTGAACTATAGTCAATGTCTAGATTTGGTCGATACTGACTTTTTTCTTCTTCAACTAAACGCGATATACAGTTCTGAGTGATACATCATCTTCTAAAGCTGAAATTTTTACTATTAATAAGCTTTTATCAGAAAAGTGTCCATATACTTTGATTTAAGAATTATTGAATTGTCTTTACTCAACATTGTGAGCAAATTGATTATCTAAAGAACGATTAGCATCAAAAACCTAACCAGCCAACATTTTTATGGCAATATTGGTCAATAGACTAGAATTGATTGTGCAAGTTTCATTTTATTCATGCACATTTTATATTATATAGTTAAATTAATAATATACTTATTTGGTCAAATATGTGTCTGTGTGAAATGCTATTTTATAGGAGCTCTGTATGTATACTACTAAAGTATACAAATTTTATATCGGTAGTGTTGAACTCTACACTCATGACTTTAATTGTGAATGTTGAAACTAACCTTTATGATATAGGCACATTTATAGGGATAGATATAATTGGACAAATTATTTATATGGGAGATATTTCTATAGCGTTTACAAGTTTTACAGACTACTTACAATAGCAGCAGTATGTAATTCTAACAACTTAAATTAAAACTTTCAAAGCCATAAAGTCAAACTATACCTCAAAATTTGTGGGAGTTAAACAGTAGATAACGCAATGTATATTTATGGTTCACTGTACTATATTATAAGCATCCAAACAACTGTTTGATTATATTATTATTTGTTTTCATTCATTATAATTATCTACTAACAGTTGTCTGTAAATTCAGTCAATAAATATGTGTGATACTACTTATGTTTTCTGTTGGGTACTGGTTTATTTTGTACTTGGAGGGGGAGTTACTTCATAATATTACATTATTCCTGTTGTAAACATGATAAACTGCACTGTTTTCTTAAATTATTTGTTTTTTTTGTTGTTTCATGTGTTGTGCATTGTATATGTTGTCACTTATTTCTGTTTTATTCATTTTGTACGTCTGTTTTTCATCGATGCACATTTCCTACGATTACTACTACCGTCACAATTGTAAATCTCATGTTTTACATGTATACGTGCACATTCTATATATGTGTATGTATATATAGACGGTTATATCCAGCTGACATGTTCTCGATCGTGAAAGATTCCAATTCTCCTGGATTAATTAATTCTATGACAAGTTTTCCACTAGTACCACCATCCATTCCTGCGTAAGTAAATAAAACCATATATCAGTCAATGTTTACCATCCATTTGGAATGTTGATTTTTTTCTTTGTTGTTGTCGTTGTTTCTTGCATTAAAAACTGGTTTGCATGAGGTTGAAGTGAGTTCCCTTTTGTTTCCTTTTTTTATTTGTATACCGAACAGAAAGTGGTAAACAGTTAATCACACCATAGGATGCGATAAAAAAATCTTAAGGCGAATGTATGCCTACTTATTCAATTGATGAACAAGAGATTATGAATTAATTACTCTATCAAGCTACTACTTTCACATAATCTCTTAATAACAATGTACATAAATACCAAACGGCTTAAATTTAATTTCAATGAAATCTTGAGTCGATCGCAACCATTGAAAACTTGGAAGCACTGGATGGCCGTTTGGTTTTAGTACGAAACTAACTGTACGAATTCCTTATTATTGTTAAATGAGTTACTATGTTACATCTCAGCCTTATATCGTTGATATTAATGTAGATTAATGTACTTAAAGTGTGAAAGTGATTTATCATCAGGTGATAAGGTAAACTGTTCAACAGATAATAAACGCTTGATTCGAAGATAACCATCCTTTCTCAGTGTTCAGTAAAACGTACAATAATTTCAATAATTTCGACCATTTCCTCATTCATTTAGTCCGTCAGTGTGACATGTAAAACTGTAATTTACACTGAAAATCTTCTGTTAATACGCTACTGTAGCTCATTCCAACTTGCAGCATGAAAAAAAGCAATAAAGTGAAAGTTACAACGAAATTTAAAGCTAAAATAATTCTTTTATCTGTAGTATTAACTTATTATATATAAACAGAAATAATGCTAGGATATTGCAAACATATTACACATTAATCGACAGATACACTATAAATTCACAGATGTATATCTTATGCTTACGGTTGTTATCACTGATGTTGAATCTTCAACACCTTTAAATGTTAGGTTTGTTTGAATTATTCACTGTTTTTATTGTAATGATTTGAAATTGTCAAATGTGCTTGAACATATAATATTGACATTGTGAATTTGAAAACTCATAATACATATTATAAAGTTTGTGATAACTAACCGATGCACGTTTCTACTCGTTCTTATGTTATTTGTAATTAGAACTCAAACGACTTTTAGGGATAATATTTCTTATGAGATTTATTCCATATACTTTTTTTCTAAATTCCCCAGTTATATTTACATAATAGCACTTTAGTAATAGCTGCGAACACTTTTTAATCGATCTACTGCTTCAATTATCGTGATCAATCATTTCATTTAAAATGTCTTTCACTGTAGACCTTTGCATATCTCACAGATTAAAACTTTCAGTGATTCTGAGTTGTTTATTCACACTCATTCTGTTGTGACCTTTTGTAATTTATATTCGGTTCACAACGAATAGTCATGAATTATTTTTAAACATTGTATAATCGTTGAGAAAATGTGAAATTTCTTCATTCTTCCTATCGTACATGTTAATAATAGTAATAAGACATCTACTATGATGAAAATTTATTTAATCTTGTGGTACACACTAAGGGCTCTTTAGGTAAAGCTATACCTATACTGATGATTTTGAATTGATTTTAAGCCTATCAGAATCCAAGTGATGTATGTGGATAATTTACTACGTAAAATTCCATAAAGGTTTAAGAAGCAAGTTAGAAATCAAATGCGAGAATGATGTGCTGTCATAAGAATGAAAATACAGTTAGTTCTTTGGTTTTCTTTAAAGTCTAGTACCTTTCTTATTATTTTAAATATTTATAAATTGTGTTCTTTCTATGTTTATAAATTTTAAGCATCTTACTAACTAAATATTGACAGAGCTTACTCAAATCTTAATAAAGTACAAATTAACCTCAGTCTTCAATCTGATTGATTTGTCGGTTTAGTTTTCCGCTTCTTGAATCAGTAAATGTATATAATTTACTTGTCAGAAAAATAATAATAGTCTTTTCTAAAGGTCTGTTGTGAAATGTTTCACACTAGACAGGAAACGTTCAATTGAGGTCTAGATTAAACAAAGTTCAGTATTTAGTTTCCGATGTTATTTTTCACTTTTCACTGTTTTAATATATTTTTTTCTCCACTAATTTTCAATCACACTTTGTCCGATTTCATTTTAGGCGTCGTTGATATACCTATTAGATGTCGTTGATAAATCACATCACTCAAACACTGTTATCAGAATCCATTAATGCAATTATTTATTCTTAAAATCAATATTACATTTTCTTCTAATAATAATATTATATTTGTGAAAAACAATTTCAGTTGGTGACAAGTTATGTCAAACAATTATACATTTCAATGTGTTACATCAGTTAACTTACATGCGAACCTCCGTGCACATGGACACATTCATATATATATCAAATTTATGAAGCTTGGTTAATAACCAAGCTGTTTTGATGCATAATAACAAATATTGTTGTATACTTCATAAATTATTCTTATTGTTGTATTCAATCTCATTCAACATTATCATCATCATATTCCTTACCGTCTTCAACTTTATCCTTCAAACCATATATTTACACAGTAGTATACGGTTACACTATTGATCTTTTATTTAAAATTCTGTTTGTAATTATATTACAGTTGTTATTCCTTTATCACTATTATCATTACCTAAAATCCATACTACATTTATTACCAATTTATGGTAATGTTAACGATAAGTATAATATTACTTATGATTGGTTTGGAAAATATTATTATTCATTCCTTGTTCTTTGTGTTTTTATTCATTCGTTAATTAATTGAAATATGTTGTGATGGAGGATTACTATTTATTTTGTAGATATTTCCTTCATTTTGTCTTAAGTTAATTATTTAATGGTTTTTTTTTATATTGACTGGGATATTGTTGTTAATCATAAGGCGGTATAACTTATATTTTAGCAAAGATTATTAGAAATCAAATTGTCTTTTAAATAATGGATATACATATATTAAAACTTATTATTTGCTTTCAGAGAACTATGTATATAGTTTGTCCACACAAAAAAAATGCAAATTAAGATATTTATGTTATTAATTATGAATTTAGGCAATTTTGTTTCTGCAAGTAGGAAACTTCATTTGTAAATTAGTCTCATGCTACTATTTTTTGATGGTATCGAATACAATCGATCATTTTCCAGGAAAGCAAACTAGGAATGTTGCCTTGTACTGTTGTTGCTATCTTGACATGGTGGTCGGGCTTGCCTATCGTGATGAAGCAACCGAGCTATACTGACTGGAACAACCATTCCTCAAGGTCCTACCATGTCAGACAGGTCGGTTGAAGAGCGGTAGGACTACAAGCAACAAACCCAAGGTCCGAAGGCGAAGTCGTACTGCTGACTCTAGAGGGGTGTGACAGAAGTAAGGCGTTTCCTTCAGACAACCAGCATGACGGCGATGCTGCCTTCCCACAAGGAGGGGTGGGGTTAGAAAAGGTCGGCCCTAAAAATGCACACCTCTCCTTATCCCACGGATATCCGTCTCAGGCGGTAAGGTTTCAACAAGTACGGAGCTAAGACAAAAATTACTCATAGAAAGGTCGTGTGTGACCGACCTCAAGCGGTTGTCCCTTAGACACTGCGGTCACGCTCCCAGGTCACTAAGACCACCTCTGATCCAATTTCCTTTTCAGGTACCTCCAGAACAACCTTTCCACGGTGTGGGCAACCAGGAAGTGATAACCGCCCTCATCTTTGACAACACTCAAGACCACTGTATTCATAATCAATCTCCCCCTTCCAACCTTGTATCTAAGGTTTCTCATCACCAAACATCAAATTGGAATTTCTTTTTATTCATCGAATTCCAAGCGTTATGCGTAAGTAGCACTAAGATGTTATAGAGACGATGAAACGTGAAATTAGTAAGGATCTGTGGATGTGACTGAGGATATTTTGAACAGTTCCAATATAAATCGGGCAAGTGTGTTATCACAAATGGGAAGTAGTTCGAAATGAATAAGATTAATGTACCTTTAATTTTGTAACACTGTCCCTATAACGTGAGTTCTCGTATTAACTGGAAGGTTTCAACGTAAAGTATAACTGCAATTGTAGTGAAGTAACATAAATCACTATAGGATTGACCAAATTAATGAATTTTGTGTTATGACGGAGTATATACTGAGTGTTTGAAATATAATAATCGAGACTTGACTGCATTGTCTTCCCATTGAACTCAAGACTAAAGGGAAGAATGTGCTCATATTGACGGATTAATGTAAGTTAAAATTATCTCGTCAGCGCTTAGGGTTAATCGTACTAGCCTTATGGGTCTCATTGTCAGAGTTTAGTAATTAGTCAATAGGCTACAACAAACCAGCTTCTCATCTCTGGTCGGTTTTTATTTCTTTACAAAAGGAATTTTTCTAAATTAAATGGAAACGCTAAGTTTAAAAGTGGAACATTCAACTACACTTTGGATGTAATGAAAAAAACGCTTCACTTAATTTCGAGTAGCGTTATTTTGACATAAAAATTTCTCCATTTCAAATTCATTACACATTTTATGCTAAAATTATTGTTAGAAATGAACACTTATATGTTTACTTAGTAATATATTTAGTTATCTTCAATGTAGAAAGATTGTATTGGGACATTCGAACCGTTTGATGCCGCATTAATTGTTTAAGTTTTAAATGTTTACTTCTGATTGGCTAACTGCGGTGAGGAGTCCCAGGTTTATTTAACCGGTCGCTCAGGTTTATCCGTATTGTTAAACCTAGTTATCATTGACATTCTCAATAATATACTCTAGAGTGATTACGAAATCCCAAGGAATAAAACGCCCAGCAGACGGGACACAATGACAACATAACTACAAATATTGCTATAATTTCAAAGAATAACTCAGAAACTTAATTATGATTACTTACAATACATATCAGTTAAAGGATGTAAGAACATGCGTACTGCAGGAAAAATTCGTTATATTATGAGACAATTCCTCGTAAAAATATGTTTTAAGCTTTATCAATCAAGAAGTATGTATGTATGTATAATGCTTTTATGATATTTGAATTTTGTCAGAATAACTTTTAAGTCCATAAAAAATCTCATTCATAAGTATCCATCTCTCCTTAAGAGATTTCATATGATTAAGAATGGGTTTTTCAACTACCCTGTATAACTTCCGCATTTTCAGTGTGTACTCCCTCATTGATTCTATGGAAATTTCAAATGAAACAAATTAACGGTGTTCAAACTATTGTATTGTAATTATTTTAATCCAGTTGCGGTAGTTACTTATATTTACGTTACTCTGTGTATTATAAATAGCTGTTTTTGTCCGAGTTAAAATTTTGAAGCAAACGGGAACGCATTGCTCCCGATTGATTTCTTTCTCCAACACACATTAGTTTACTGAGGGAGGCTAATACTCAAAATAAATGGAAGAATATGTATTGATTTAAATGTAATTTGTGTTCAGTTGACTTCCATATTAGCTAAGTGTGATATATATTCATCTGATTTATGAATCGATTCATTGTAATTTACACTTAACATTAAACTAATTTGCATTCATTAATCCAATGTGATTTTATCTTCACTTGACTTTTGTTCGATATGGTATTCAATAATAACTTCACATAAAAGTTAATTATTTTAACATTTTCTTTAACTAATAATCAATGAATATGTTGGGGATGCTAGACCCCCAGAAATCACTTAGTAAACGTCTTATTTTTGTAATTTTATATTGGGAAATTGAATTTCTCGTTTTCGCGTCGAAAGCGCCCATTTTTACTTTCAGGTTATATTTCCCACTTGAAAGGACCCTAAATGTCATTGGTTGGTTGGCTCCTTTAATATGACATTTTGTGACGTTTCCCGAATACATCTTTATACTGTTTATATACACTTAAGTTGTGTGCTTGTTGTTCGTGTTTCTGACTGATTGCGGAATATATTTTCCCTCATTTAACCCTGAACTTCTCCCTCTACTTAACGGGGCTGGGATGAACTGGAATAGTTTAACTGTCTTGTAGTTATGTCGCTGATCCTTTGTTCCGTTCGCCGGTTTTTAAGTAATCTCGTAATTCAAAATATGTATTTGAATGACTAACAATCTTCTTAGGTAAGACTTCTAGACAAGCTTGAACGGTGAGGCCCTAATTTGTGGACGGGCTAGTCAGAAGCGTTTTAGAGATTTCAAGGTCACGGCGCCGACTTCAGTGCTTAATGCTAACGTACGATCAGTTCACAGGGAATTTTGTACAAAATGTGATAATTGAGCGGCTATAACAAATAAAACGGCGAGACTATAATTTGTGGACGAATCAATCAGATATAAGATAACAGATCTCGGGTTTTAATGCGAAAGCCTTTCATGCATTTGGCTAAATAAATTTCTGACATTAGAGCTTATGTCAGTTCGTGATGAAAACCTAACTAAGGCAAATTCGACATTTATTGCGAACTAGATAATAAAAGCACTAGTAACACTGGCTGCAGCCAGGTACTACAATGTATACGGATGTTTGGAGAGCGTACAGACTCCTATATGGGCTTGTTTATGGGCATCGTGTCGTTATCCACAAGTAGCATTTTGTGCACTCAACAACCGGAAACTATGTGGCTGAAAGAGTATTTGAGACTTTATGGTGGCTCCAGAGGCCGACTATTATGTAGCCGTTTGGATGATTTCCTCTACTACCTGCATTACGATTTTAGAACCTATGAACCTCTTTTTAACCTTGACAAGTTTTTGAATCACTTGTGAGAATTGTATCCACTTTATTTCCTTGGTTTTGTATAAATATTCTTACTCCATACTGACTGTTTGCTGATTGGCTAATATTCATCAGGGTCAGTTAAGATTCGTTCAAAGGTCGTCCATAAATTAGAGTCCCGCCGCTTGAACTTCTTTCTCTAGTTATTCCACCATTGAAGTTACAGCTAGGAGTTATCTACTTAGTTCATAGACTTACCATTAAACGAATTGCCTTTTCAGCTCATAATTCTCTTCAATTTCTATGGACATTTGGATATAAACAATTTACTTAGCAATTCAACGTTTTGTAGCAAGTGAATTATGCTTTTCTCACTGAAATTATTCGTACAGAAGTCGACAATTAGGGTCTTCATGTGACAAGTTTATCGTTTCCTTGAGATCACTTTCTCTATTACAATTGTTTTGTTGATGTAGTTTAACAGCTATTAAACTATTCAGCTTAAAAATCCTTCTTATATTTACGAAATTAACTACCACCAACAATACACATATTTTTTCGGCGGAAATATTGATTTCATCGTTTCTTTTATCAACTGACGGTATAAATCACTCACTTGATTATTGAAAAAGTTTCCGGTTGAATTGAGACATTATAAAAACTTGTTTAAGCTTAATTATCGCCATTATAATCAAATATTATTTCTTGGTTAACAGTTCACTTATAACAATCTATCTGTTAATTGTCTGTGGGATTTATCAAACTGATTTCTTATTTGTTTACTGTTTTTGGTTAATAGTAAATCCGTTTACTCTTTAACGACATGATCGATGTGATCTTGTACAGCGAAAGCATTTTGTTGTAACGGATGGATTGCACGGTCAGATGCGCAGCGTTTTATTGATCGATTCAGTGACACGTAAAACTCGTAAGGACGACCTAGAGTCCCGATTGGTCCCGCTCCCCTGTCTAGCCCAGCCAGTTGAGTCTATAACGCAAGTCACAGCCTCTGAGTTATGAATCGTTATATTTCAGACATACTCTGTTTATATACCAACCAAACAGACCACATCGTACCATAAAAATAGAAAACAACATCTGTACAATATTTAACGAGTGAAATAAATAATGGCCAATAGGGAACGCCCATTTAGAGCCCAAGGACATCATTGGACTTAATATGATAATGATTGGTATATTCCTCAGCATCCCTAACACATTTACTGACTAATGTGAAAATAAATCGATACTTTGTTTTTGTATCAGACTTTTTTCTCAATATTAACATTTTTTCCCTCTTTTGTCCATTGTCTAGTTCTGTGATTAGCATGTATTTTTTGCGGAAAACCTGTTCTGTATTATTATACTTGGTAG